TATCAGTAGGAACTGTTAGCAAATTGAGCGGAACATAAAAATAACCACTCGAAACAGTAAGAGACGGTATTAAGGCGATGTTGCACGAGACGATTCGCAACGACGATTTTTAGCACACCACAGCGTTGCAACATTGTTTCGAATAGTTACTAACATTATTCCAACATTGCAAAGATGTGTTGCGCTAAGAAGCGTCGTTGCGAATCGTCCCTTGTAACATCACCTTTAAAAACACAGTAAATACTAATGTAGGCACCAATTACAAAATCGAAGTAGTTAAAACGGACTGAAATTGTGTGCTTGGAAGGTTAAGTTTTGTTCCAGGGATTATGTGGGGTTTTGTTGGAATCCCTAGGGATTTCTTCGGGTTTTTGTTTTGCCCCCATTTGATCATCCCCGTCACTTGAAATCCGGAGTACCTCCCCCCCCCGCCACCGGGGCCCTTTAAGTCTCAAATTACCGTTTGACGTTACAATAATTAAGCCCCGTCACATGTAAAACCTGCTAATACTCATGAGGATCATGAGACTAGAGCCCAAGTATTTAAAAGATTAAAATCATGGAAATGAGAAATGTTAAAAAAGTGAAATTTGCTTAGATCAAATGCAGGATCTTATGCAGGAAGAAAGATGCTACAAGGCGGATCATCCTTGCGATATTTGTTTTCTGTCAGTGTGCCATTCAAACTATATGCGAAGGGTTTTACTTCAGGGGGCACCCAACGTCAATTTTTGGAAAATATCTGTTTGGAAGACGTGTTGAGATCTAGAATTTTCGGAACATTTGTTGTAAAATTTCTTGCTTGCCTGCCTCTCCTAGGATTTTCAAACATCTAAAAAATGGTATAATTGCCAATTTTTAACGGATTTTTACCCTAAGAAGGTCTCCTAGAATTTTCGGGAGCCTTTTTTCTGGCTGAAATTTTCGAAAAAGTAAGCTTTGATCCCTATAATTTTCAGATCACTAGACTTTCAGCTAGGAAATCCGAACAGATGAAAAATTTTTAGGGGATAAAAATATGCCTATATCTACCGTTTAAATACTGAAATACGTTTAACAATGCTATGTTTTAGTGGTTTTGGACTATATTCTCATTGGGTGCCCCTGTTACTTGTCCCTAGCGCTAGGATCTTCCTAGCTGAGTGCCTAGGGGTGTACTCAACAAATATTTATGCGGGGAGGCTCCACGTCGAGATACAACGCCTTACTCTTTTGTATATGCACGCATCGCGGCAAAGACTGTCATTCCCGCATGGGCCTGTGCAGCCACAGACGACGCTGTTCCTGTCCACCTCTCCATTACACTCAAATAAATTGCATTTTTTTCCATCAAGTAAATAATTTACGTCGGTAGCACGAATTGGTCAGCGTTTGACTGACAAACCTGAGGCCAACTTTGGGTTCATTTTACTCCCTCTCTCGATTAGAGCTCGGCTCCTTTTACAGGTTAGGGACTTTACGAAACTACAACAGCGACGGCAACCGGAACGTCTGAGGCTGCGTTTATCAGGAGGAAAGTTGTCACTCAGTGGTAGAAGGGTCACTTACCCGCTATACCCAAGCTACAATGGACGAGCCATGTTTTCATACACATTTCGTTACAAAACGCTGCAAACAGTTTACATTAGAAAGAAAAAGGTCTGCTAGGCTAGAAGGGCGACCCGCCTTGTCGAGTCACTCTTCTAGGCAGGTCTTTTGTGGTAAGGTCACCCCCCTTGCCGAGCCAACTCCATTCTCGTCCCTAGAGCCCGTCGCTTTTTTTTGGCCACGGTTTGGGACACCAACATAGCCGCCGTTTCATTGTTTTTGGACACTACTACGGCCGTCGTGACGTCATGTGATAACACTCTAAAAGCGCTCGCTAAGGTTAACTCGACTGGGAGGGTGATCTTT